CCCGCCTCGGCCTCCCAAAGTGCTAGGATTACAGATGTAGACCACCGCGCCCGGCCGCAACTAGATACTTCAAATGCACCTCAAATTCAACATGTGTAAGGCAGAGCACAGTGGCTCACGCCTGTAATCCCAGCACTTTCAGAGGTCAGGGTGGGCGGATCGCTTGAGCTCATGAGTTTGAGACCAGCCTGGGAAACACAGTGAAACCCAAACTCTACAAAAAATACAAAAAATTAGGTGGGTGCGGTTGTGTGCACCTGTAGTTCCAGCTACTCAGGAGGCTGAGGTGGGCAGATCACTTGAGCCCGGGAGGTGGAGGTTGCGGCGAGCTGAGATCATGCCACTGAACTCCAGCCTGGGTGACAGAGTCAGAACTCTTTCAAAAAAAGAAAAGAAAAAAAAAAATTCAACAAGTTCAAAACTGAACTTGGCCAGGCACAGTGGCTCATGCCTGTAATGCCAACACTTTGGGAAGTGAAGGTGGGAGGATCACTTGAGCCCAGGAGTTCAAGATCAATCTGGGCAACAGAGTGAGACCCTGTCTCTACAAAAAATACAAAAATTAGGCCAGGCACGGCGGCCTACACCTATAAACCCAGCAGTTTGGGAGGCCGAGGCGGGTTGATCATGAGGTCAGGGGATCGAGACCATCCTGGCTAACATGGTGAAACCCCATCTCTACTAAAAATACAAAAAAATTAGCCGGGCGTGGTGGCGGCACCTGTGGTCCCAGCTACTCGGGAGGCTGAGGCAGGAGAATGGCTTGAACCCGGGAGGCAGAGCTTGCAGTGAGCCAAGATCGCGCCACTGCACCCCAGCCTGGGCAACAGAGAGACTCAGTCTCGGGGGGCGGGGGGAGGGGAATTAGCTGGGTGTAGTGACGTGTGCCTGTAGTCCCAGCCATTCAGGAGGCTGAGGTGGAAGGATCACCTGAGCCCAGGAAGTTGAGGTTGTAGTGAGCCAAGGTCATGCCACTGAACTTCAGCCTGGGAGACAGAGTAAGACCCTGTCTCTAAAAAATAAAAAGATGAGTAAAAATAAATATATAAATTTTTTTTGAAAAAAAACTGAACTCATTCTGAGCATTGCTTTGTAGTAAAAAAACAAAAACTGAATTCATGATCATTCCCTTGACAACCCCACCCCCACCCCTTGGCCAAAGTGATTATCTTCCAGGGCCCTTGGTCAGGGAATGGTGTCATTATTCCTTCAGCTATGCAGCCAAAAATCTTGACACTTCTATTTCCCATCCAACCCACCATCAAGCCCTGTCAACTTTACCTCTTAAACATGTTTTCGTAATGCCCCTTTTTCACGCTGTCTCCTTCTTTTTCTTCTCTCTCTCCCCGCCACCATTTTTCAAGCTCCAGCAGTTCTTGCCTGGAGTACTGCAATATCCAACTGTTCTGCCCTAATCCACTCTAGCAAACCCCGCTATAGACTGACCTTTTAAAATGCAAATATGACCTGGGTTCACTTCTGCTTAAAGCTTATGATTGGCTTCCTTTAATTCTTGGATAAGCACAAAACTTCTCTGTATGGCTAAGGCCCCGCTTCCCCTGGCTCCAGCTTCAACTCACACCACACTCCATTCAGGTCAATTAGCTCAAACTCTTCAGATATTCCTTAGCCTTTGTACTCACTGTGCTTCCTCCTGCCATCCAGCCTTTGCACGCCTGATTCCCTCTGCTTAGCGGGGCTCCCTCCTTTCTTTGTAAAAGGCATCAGATCTCACACCAAGCTCTCATTAGAAAAGCCTTTCCTGTCCTACCTCTCAAGATCTTATTGTAAATACTCAAAGTACCACTAACCTCTCATGTTTCACTTTACAGCAATAATTCCACATTTGTTTGTTCGTTTTGGAGACGGTGTCTTCCTCTGTCACCCAGGCTGGGGTGCAGTGGTGTGATCACGGCTCACCATAGCCTCCACCTCTCGGCCTCAGGTCATCCTTCCACCTCAGCCTCCAGAGTAGCTGAGACTACAGGCATGCACCACCACGCGCGGCTAATTTTTAGTAGAGAAGCGGTTTCACTATGTTGGCCTGGCTGATCTCGAACTCGTGACCTCAAATGATCCACCCGCCTCGGCCTCCTAAAGTGCTGGGATTACAGGCGTGAGCCACTACGCCCAGCCCACATTTGTTTATTTGATTCTTTTATTTTATTTTATTTTATTTTATTAGAGACAGAGTCTCACTTTGTTGCCCAGGCTGGAGAATGCAGCGGTGCAGTCTTGGCTCACTGCAACCTCCGCCTCCCAGGTTCCAGCAATTCTCCTGCCTCAGCCTCCCAAGTAACTGGGACTACAGGCATGTGCCGCCATGCCCGGCTAATTTTTTTTGTTATTAGTAGTAGAGATGGGGTTTCACCATGTTCGCCAGGTTGGTCTCGAACTCCTGACCTCAGGTGATCCGCCCGCCTCGGCCTCCCAGAGTGCTGGGATTACAGGCGTGAGCCACCGCGCCGGGACTATTTGATTCTTTTAAAATATCAGTGCCCCTCTTCCACGATTGGACTGTGAGCCCGGGGGAAGGAAAGAACCTTGTCTGCCATTGTATCTTCAGGACCTAGCGGGGCCTGGCACAGAGCAGGTGCTCAACTAGACTGGTTGACTAAGTAAATAAAGAAAGCACCACCGTCTACCATAGCCGAAGGCTTGGCTTTGGGAGGGGCCAAAGACAGGTCAGTACTTGAAGATTTCGCGCAGAGGTAGGGTTCGTGGGGCCGACATTTTTTTCAAGATGGAAGAAAGCTGAGCTAATACGCAGCCCTCAAAGAACCCTCAGTCTAATCGGGGGGAGCAGACGATCGTTCACTGTACGAAAATGGGGTACGATTTTCCCCAGGAAGGAAATCAACTGAAGCCGACCTTGGAAAAGGGGAGCAGACCAGCCCGAGGGGAAGCGGGGGCGTGTCGCCCGGCGTGACTATGGCGGCAGGGAAAGCGGACCCAGGGACCCGAGCCCGTCGCGCCGCTTCCGCACGTCCCCAGACTGTCCCTCCGCTCGCCCACCCACGCGACGGGGACCCCTCCGGCCCCTCCCAGGCCCCACGGCCACTCCTTCCCCCGCAAGCCGGCCCGCGGCCCGCCTTACCAGCCCGGGCCGGACTGGGCCGCAGCTCCTGTCAGACCGCACAGCCTTCGAGCCCGGAACGCCGAGACAAGGCCGGCGCCGATTGGCGACGTTCCGTCACGTGACCTTAACGCTCCGCCGGCGCCAATTTCAAACAGCGGAACAAACTGAAAGCTCCGGTGCCAGACCCCACCCCCGGCCCCGGCCCGGGACCCCCTCCCCTCCCGGGATCCCCCGGGGTTCCCACCCGGCCCGCACCGCCGGGGACCCGGCCGGTCCGGCGCGAGCCCCCGTCCGGGGGCCCTGGCTCGGCCCGCAGGTTGGAGGAGCCCGGAGCCCGCCTTCGGAGCCACGGCCCAACGGCGGCGGCGACTGCAGTCTGGAGGTGAGCGGGATACAGGAATGGAGTCCCGGGCCTGGCCTGGGCACAGGCGGGGAGCGAGGCCTCCGGGCGCGGAGGTCAGGGCGTCTGGCAGCAGGGCACGGGCCACGAGTGGAGGTTTGGGCCACACGGGAAGAATCTGAGCCCGGGTGCAAATGTTTTCTGCATCCAACCTCCTGGCCGGGGCCGTCTCATTACTTAAAGCGCCCCTTGGCCTTCCCTGGAAGTCTGACCTCTGCACGCTGCCCACGGCCTCGGGAGGGCTGGGGTGGCCTTTCTTAGGCCGGCTGCGGCTGAGACGAACACTGAGCTTGTACTACGTTGAGTCAAAGACCAACCTGCACACATCCTCCCCTGCTCCCAGGCTCTCACCACTAGGCAACACTGCCTCCGTCTTACCCATTTGCAGGGCCCTTCTCCTGGGTCCTGAGAGTGTAGCAAGATTTCCCCGCTCAGGATGGAGATGGCCCAGAGGACCACTCTGGAAGTTTCCCGGGCAAGAAAGTGTTGGCAATAATAATATCAGGCTGGTCAGGAAGTAGAAGAAAAAATTAAGACCTAGATATCCTGTGGAAAAAGAGGAATAATATCTACTGATCGATGCGGGGAGAGAGGGAAGCCTGGAAAGATCTGAAGTGAAAGTAAAACTGAGATTTGAAGGTAGAGGTGTGGCGGGCCTGTGAACTCTGCAGATGACAAATGTCAAAAAATTACAGTTGCTTTTCAGGGAGAGAATAAGTGTCCTAAAAAAGAGACAGCCAGTTCCTCTGTCTCCCAAAGTTCCATGAAATAGAATTATACAATTTTGCTTAATGGTAGAGTATTCCATGTATCTATTAAAATCAACAAAAGGCTGGATGCAGTGGCTCACGCCTGTAATCCCAGCACTTTGGGTGGCCGAGGCGGGTGGATCATCTGAGGAGTTCAAGACCAGCCTGGTAAACATGGTGAAACCCTGTTTCTACTAAAAATAAATAAATAGATAAAAATTAGCCTGGCGTGGTGGTGGGCGCCTGTAATTGCAGCTACTCAGGAGGCTGAGGCAGAAGAATCGCTTCAACCCTGGAGGCAGAGGTTGCAGTGAGTTGAGATCGCGTCATTGCAGTCCAGCCTGGGTGACAAGAGCGAAACTCTCTCTCAAAAAAAAAAAAAAAAAAAAATTTAAAAAATTTAAAAAATCAACAAAAGACTTAAAAAGAAAAAAAAAGACTATGCTGTTAGCATTTCAGAACCAGTGTATTGATAGTGTATTGATGATAGCTCATTCTGGTAGTAAGGAGACAGGGGTTATAGTCTAATTTCTGGAAAAGAAATTAATAAAGTGGCATGCTTAGAAAGTTAAAATATGTATAACCACATGCAAGTACTAAAATGCCACTGTATAAATACAGTACGAATTGTAAAAGAACACGTTCTTTTTAAATTAGAGCAAGTATAATAGCCTGTGAAATGTCACCCTCTAAAGTTCAGTGAACAAGCTGCACAACTTTACATGGGCCTTCAACAGAGGTTTCCATTTTATGTGAGGTTTTGTAAACTGGGAGATGATTTTTTTCAGTAGTGTGGCAATAGTACAATCTGCCTTTCTTCCCTGATTCTGTGTGCACTGGTCCTATTTACAAAGTAACATAAAAGTTAAAAGGCTTGGCCAGGTGACTTGCGGTGACTCATGCCTGTAATCCCAGCACTTTGGGAGGCCAAGCCAGGTGGATCACCTGAGTTCAAGACCAGCCTGAGCAACATGGTGAAACCCTGTCTCTACTAAAAATACAAAAATTAACCGGGTGTGGTGGCGGGCGCCTGTAATCCCAGCTACTCAGGAGGCTGAGGCATGGGAATCACTTAAACCCAGGCAGCAGAGATTGCAGTGAACTGAGATCGTGCCACTGCACTCCAGCCTGGGTGACAGAGTGAGACTCTGTCTCAAAAGAAAAAAAAAAAAAAATTAAAAGGCTTTATCTTAGAATGGATTATGGGATCAGAGTTTTGTCAGGACTCCTAACTACCATATGCTTTCCTATTCTAGCATCTTCCATTCCTGTCCATACAGTCATTGCAAGTGATCTATTTATATTATAGGAGGCAATTATAGAGATTTCCACATATTTGTAGCTATCCCATCCACTTCTGTAGCTAAATATTCTGAAGCTTCAAGGAGGTCTTTGTCTATCTCCAGCCCAGTCCCATTTTTACCCTTTGAATTGCTTCTGTCTGCTGTAATTTTAGCCTTCTTTTGTCAGTAAAGCTTATCTCCTTATTATCTGAGGTCTTTACAAAAGTCCATGCAGTGTTTACCTGGGCCTTTAGGCTCATGTTCCTGATCATATGAAGAGGAGCACCTTTCTCTAAAAGAACCTCTTCTCAGCCTAAAAAATCTCTAACATCTTGCTGCTGTTTGCATTCTCCAGGGTCGACACTTGTGATTCTCAATGGAGAGTGAAAACGCAGATTCATAATGAAAACCAGCCCCCGTCGGCCACTGATTCTCAAAAGACGGAGGCTGCCCCTTCCTGTTCAAAATGCCCCAAGTGAAACATCAAAGGAGGAACCCAAGAGATCCCCTGCCCAACAGGAGCCTAACCAAGCAGAGGCCTCCAAGGAAGTGGCAGAGTCCAACACTTGCAAGTTTCCAGCTGGGATCAAGATTATTAACCACCCCACCATGTCCAACACCCAAGTGGTGGCTATCCCCAACAATGCCGACATCCACAGCATCATCACAGCACTGACTGCCAAGGGAAAAGAGAGCGGCAGTAGTGGGCCCAACAAATTCATCCTCATCAGTTGTGGGGGAGCCCCAACTCAGCCTCCAGGACTCCAGCCTCAAACCCAAACCAGCTATGATGCCAAAAGGACAGAAGTGACCCTGGAGACCTTGGGACCACAACCTGCAGCTAGGGATGGGAATCTTCCTAGACCACCTGGAGCCCTTTGCGAGCAGAAACGGGAGACCTGTGGTATGTGGTCTTCCAGGGAAAGGGGTGAGGGAGCCCAGCCTTTTCTCTCTAGTGGCAAGGTCTGTGGTCAGTCTTGATGCTTGCAACAGTCAGGCATCTGGCCGAGCACAGTGGCTCACCCCTGTAATCCCAGCACTTTAGGAGGCTGAGGCAGGCAGATCACTTGAGGTCAGCAGTTCGAGACTAGCCTGGCCAACATGGCATGGTGAAACCTGTCTCAACTAAAAATATTTTAAAAACTAGCCAAGCGTGGTGGCTCACGCCTGTAGTCCCAGCTACTCTGGAGACTGAGGCAGGAGAATCACCTCACTATGTTGCCCAGGCCAGGAGGAGGTGGCTGCAGTGAGCCAAGATCGCACCATGGCACTCAAGCCTGGGCGACAGAGCAAGATTGTGTCTCAAAAAAACCAGAACAATCAGGCATCTAGCCTGAGCCAATGAAAGTCTTGTCTTCATCCTGAAAGCTTGACCCAGCTCCTTTGGGTGCTGTTGAAAGGGTTACAATTATAATTTAGAATTTCTGTTGCTTTGTTTATGTTGTAAAAGGATTATGTCTGTTTATCCTTTGTATTGACCCAAAAGAAAGTAAAAATAATTTTCCTTTCTTAAAAAAAAATCTTGGCTAGGCATGGTGGCTCACGCCTATAATCCCTGCACTTTGGGAGGCCGAGGCAGGTGGATCACCTGAGGTCAGGAGTTTGAGACCAGCCTGGCCAACATGGTGAAACCCCATCTCTACTAAAAATACAAAAAATTAGCTGGGCGTGGTGGCAGGCCCCTGTAATCCCAGCCACTTGGGAGGCCGAAGCAGGAGAATTGCTTGAACCCAGGAGTCGGAGGTTGCTGTGAGCCAAGATTGCACCATTGCACTCCAGCCTGGCCAACAGAATGAGACTCTGTCTCAAAAAAAAAAAAACACAACAACAAAATTTCTATTTAAAAAAATGTTGTGTTTTTTTTTTAATTATTAAGAAGGGGTTTCAGCTGGGTGCGGTGGCTGACACCTGTAATAATCCCAGGACTTTGGGAGGCCGAGGCGGGCAGATCATGAGGTCAAGAGATTGAGACCATCCTGGCCAAAATGGTGAAACCCCGTCTCTTCCAAAAATACAAAAATTAGCCAGGCGTGGTGGCAGGCGCCTATAGTCCCAGCTACTGTGGAGGCTGAGGCAGGAGAATCGCTGAACCTGGGAGGCGGAGGTTGCAGTGAGCTGAGATTGTGCCACTGCATTCCAGCCTGGCCACAGAGCGAGACTCTGTCTCAAAAAAAAATAAAAATGAAAAAAAAGAAGGGGTCTCAAAAAATAAATAAATGAGGAAGGGGTCTCACTGTGTTGCCCAGGCTGGTCTCAGACTCCTGAGCTCAAGGGATCCAACCATATGGGCCTCCCAAGGTGCTGGGATTACAGGCATGAACCACAGCGCCTGACTTCATTTTCCTTCTTTTTTTTTTTTTGAGATGGAGTCTTGCTCTGTTGCCCAGGCTGGAGTGCAGTCAGCTCACTGCGACCTCTGCCTCCTGGTTTCAAGTGATTGTCCTTTTAGTAGAGACACGGTTTCGCCATGTTAGCCAGGTTGGTCTTGAACTCCTGACCTCAGGTGATTCGCCCACCTTGGTCTCCCAAAGTACTACAGGCGTGAGCCACTGCGCCTGGCCTCATTTTCCTTCTGGATAAGGGAGAAAGCTGAAGGAAGAGGAGGAAAATGACTTTTTCTTTAGAGATGGGGTCTCACTCTGTCACCCAGGCTAGAG